CGTCAAGGACTTAATGCTCATGATGGCCCCTACCGCCTCAATCGACACCGTGATGGAACAGGCCATCCAATGTGACACCCGATTGTTTGAGCGCCGTCTAGAGCAAAGCAGGAACCGACAGCCATATGTGCCAGTTACCACTAGCCCCACCCTCATGAGCCCCGACAACCGCCCAGACGACCCTATGATCATTGACGCTGCTCGTCCGCGAGGACCCCTCACACCGCTAGAGCGCCAACACCGCATCACAAACAAACTTTGCCTCTACTGTGGTAAACCCGGCCACATAGCCAAACTCTGCCCGAACAAGATACGCTCGGCGAATGTCGCGGTTAAGGAACCTGCACCCATCCAGGATTTTGCCCAAGTCCAGCTGCAGTAAAGGCCGAGCAGCTGGGCAACACCTGTCCTGGGCCTTCTCACCACGCAAGTACTGCCAAGGGAGAAGCCACAAAACCTTGCTCCGATCCTGGCATCTCCAGCAACACCCTTCTCCTGACCACCAACAATGTCAATCTCCTATCTGAGATACCCTCACCCATGCGGACTTTGGGCCCATCCTCACCATTCGAGTACCCTGTTACCCTGCAGATATCGGCCCAGCGAGCTCCAGTTCAGCTTTCAGCACTACTCGACACCGGTGCGATGTCGTGCTTCATCGACGAAAGTTATGCCCGCAAGCACCGCATCCCACTTGTCAAGAAGGAGGACCCCATTGCGCTTGAACTGGTTGACGGACGTCCCAGCCATGCGGGCTCCATTACCCATCACACCCAACCTTTGGGCATGTGGGTCAACGACCATTTTGAGGAGGTGGTATTCCATGTGACATGTTCCCCGCATGCGCCAATCATCCTGGGGCTTCCCTGGTTTGAGCTCCATGATGTGGAGCTACACTGGAAGACTCGCACTCTTTGCGTCCGCTGCCATTGCGGTTTTGGACAATACGCCTCCTGGGATGCCCTGCCAACAGAACCTAGCCCGAAGCCCTCAAAAACCCCTGAACCTCTGATCCGTATCCATCAAGACGAGATTTCAGTCTCCCTAGCCCAGACACCCAACACACTGGACCCAGCACCCACACCGATCCACGTATCGTTTATCAGCGCCCCAGCTTTCCGTGTGGCGGCAAGGCAGGACCAGGCATTCATTGCCTACGCCAATCCGACCAAGTCAGATTCCCAAGCCCTGGCGACCACTCCTCCAAAAGATCCGAAGGCCATCATTCCTGAAGAATACCAAGATTTTGCGGACGTCTTCGCCAAGAAGAACGCGGATACCCTCCCAGAGCACCGACCCTACGACTGTCCCATCGACTTAGAAGAGGGCAAACAGCCACCGTTCGGCCCGATCTATAGTCTCAGCGAGCCTGAAATGCAGGCACTCTGTGACTGCCTTGAAGAGAACCTAGCTAAGGGGTTCATCAAGCACTCCAAGTCTCCCGCCGGCGCCCCAGTCCTCTTTGTCAAGAAAAAGGACGGTTCCCTCCGTCTGTGCGTCGACTATCGTGGACTCAACAATATCACCATCAAGAATCGCTATCCCTTGCCCTTGATTAACAGCATCATGGATCGTCTTCGAGGGGCACGCCGGCTCACCAAGATTGACCTCCGGGGAGCCTACAACCTTCTTCGGATCCGGCCAGGGGATGAATGGAAGACAGCGTTCTGATGTCGCTACGGCCTATTCGAGTATAATGTCATGCCGTTTGGGCTCACCAATGCCCCTGGAGTATTCCAACACCTCATGAACGACATCTTCCGTGACATTCTCGACGTTTTTGTTGTGGTCTACCTTGACGACATTCTGATCTTCTCACAAAACCCAGAAGACCACCCCAACCACGTCCGAGAGGTGCTCTCACGACTCCGCCAGCACGGGCTGTATGCGAAACCGGAAAAATGCGAATTCAACCGTGACTCTGTTGAGTTCCTGGGGTTTATCATCTCCCAGCAAGGCCATTCCATGGACCCAAAGAAGACAGGCTGCCATTACCGAATGGGAACCCCCGACGAATGTCAAAGGCATCCAGCGCTTCCTTGGTTTTGCCAACTTCTACCGGCTATTCATCAAAGGGTACTCTGCGATCGTTGCACCCCTGACCACGCTCACTCGATAAGACTTGCCATTCAAATGGACCCACGCTGCACACCTAGCTTTTGAAACCCTCAAGAAAGCCTTCACCTCCGCACCTATCCTGACTCACCCCGACCCTGACAAGCCCTTCATTGTCGAATCCGATGCCTCCGACTTTGCCCTTGGCGCCGTCCTCCTTCAACCCGATGACACAGATCAACTCCACCCCGTGGCCTTTCACTCCCGCAAATTTACTCCTGAGGAAATCAACTATGAGATCTACGACAAGGAACTCCTGGCTATCCAAGACTCATTTGCTCAATGGCGACACCACCTCATTGGTGCCCGCCACAAGGTCATCGTTTACTGTGACCACAAGAACCTCCAGTACTTCATGACTACCCGTACCCTCAACCGCCGCCAATCCCGCTGGTCAATCTTCTTTGCTGATTTCGACTTTGTCATCACATACCGCCCTGGTACCCAGCAACACCAAGCTGACGCCCTCTCTCGTCGCTCTGAATACGAGCTAAGGGAGGGGGAAGAAGCATTCCGCTCCCAGGAAACCACGATCCTCACCCCTGACCATCTCCGCCTGGCCGCCACTTATCTGACCCCACTGGACTCCTTGCTCCTTGACCAAATCAAAGCTGCCCTGGCATCCGATGTGTTTGCGCAAACCATCCGGCGACAGCTTAGGGCCCCCATTGCCCAGCAATCTCAAGAAGACCAAGAACGGATAAAGCGATTCTCCGAGGAAAATGGGGTTCTGCTGTACAACAACCTTGTCTATGTCCCCACCAACAAGCTCCGTGCTGAGATCTGCCGGGACATGCATGACACGCGTTTGGCAGGACACTACGGCATGTCAAAGACCCTGGAGCTCATCTCACGCAACTACTGGTGGCCTAGCCAGTGGCGTTTTGTCAAGTCCTACATCAGGTCCTGCGACGTATGTGCTCAAGCCAAGACCAGCAGACACAAGCCCTACGGTCTCCTCCAACCCCTGCAGGTCCCTGACCGCCCCTGGGGGTCAATTTCCATGGACTTCATCACGGATCTACCCGCCAGTGATGGGGTTGATTCTGTGCTCGTTGTCATCTGCCGGTTCACCAAGATGGCGCACTTTGTACCGTGCAGGAAAACTGCCACCGCTGAGTCAACTGCAGATCTGATCTGGCACCATGTCATCCGGCTCCATGGACTCCCCGACGATATTGTATCTGACCGTGGCCCACAGTTCAACTCCCACTTCTGGAAACATCTCTTCGCTCTCCTGGGAACCAAGGTCAACCTCTCATCGGCGTTCCATCCCCAGAGCGATGGACAAACCGAGCGGACCAATCAGATTCTTGAGCAATACCTTCGCTGCTTTTGCAACTATCACCAAGATAACTGGAAGGAACTCTTGTCTTCTGCTGAGTTCTCTTACAATAACACCATCCACTCCGCCACCCAGACAACCCCCTTCTACGCCAACTATGGGTTCCATCCTCGATTCAGTCTGGCTTCCGCCACCACAACCGAATCCCTTAATCCTGCAGCCGAAGCTCGTGCCAACCATCTCAAGGAAATCCATGAACAGCTTGCCACTGAGCTCAAGGAGGCCCAAGGACGCATGAAGCGCTTTGCCGATGCTAAGAGGGCACCTGGCCCAGACATGAAACCCGGGGACAGTGTCTGGCTCTTACAGCGGAATCTCAAGACTCTCCGACCTTCCCAGAAACTTGATCACCGTCAGATTGGCCCCTTCACAATCACGGAGAAGATTAACTCGGTCACATATCGCCTCAAGCTTCCCCCATCCTACAAAATTCACAACGTCTTCCATGTCTCCCTTCTTGAACCACGTTTCACCATTCCGGAGCGAACTGAGCCAGAACCCACCCCACCAGAAGAAGTCGAAGGACAGGAGGAATGGATTGTGGAAGACATTCTTGACTCCCGTATTCGACGCACGCAGCTTCAGTACCTCATCAAGTGGCAGGGTTGGCCAAGCTCGGAGAACACATGGGAGCCAGTGGAACACCTTGCCCGATGTCAAGAGCTTGTTGCCCAGTTCCACCAAAAGTACCCCGACAAACCCCGGCCAAAGCCTGCCAACATCAAAACAACATCCGGACGCCGTGGCTAAAGGAGGGGGTGATGTTATGGACGACGCGTCCATACCATGCGCTTACCTCATGACAGCATCCCAACAGTCAGTCAATGTCAATTCCCTGTCAAAACCTGACATCTGCCAAACCTCGCAGCCGCACGCAGCCGCGCTACCCCACACCTGCCACTGCCTTCATTCCTCCACGCAGCCGCACGTAGCCACACCTCCCAACACTCGGCGCTTACAAACCCTTCTCCATACTTCCCCACGTACCCGCCCACAGCCTCAGCGTAGCCACCCCATCCCCAGTCTTCTGTTTCTATGCTTCCCCACCCTTGGCGCTTCTCTTGGCTTCCCTCTCATTCCGTACCCTTCTGCTTCCCCACGCTTCCCCAGCCTTCCCAGAAAAACATAAATAGCCGCCTCCCCTGAGCTCCCCACTTCCTGATCCCCCAGCAGATCAACACCAGTTCTTCCTAGTCTTGTTCTAGTTCTTGTTTCGGTCCGAATACCTGTCAACAACCTGCACCACAAGTCGCCTCTATTTCCACCGGCTCCGCCCATTCATAACATCATCCATGCTCGCACCACCGTCACCGAACACACACTGAAACTGCGCTCCTGCCGGCCGAAGGAATGGTGTCCAAACCACTCTCACGACGACACCGTATTCGAACAGGGCGACTACCATGTGATCGACGTTCCCAGCATCAATCACACCCCGAATCTCGATGTTGTTGAGCTCTACAACTCCCTCATCGCCATCCAGAGCACCCGCCGCGACGGCATCCCGGAAGTCTTCATAAATTGATACCAGAATTCACAAATGTCCGCCGGAACCATAAGCCACCTCGTCGACACTGTACTCAGAGCCGCCGGAATTGACAACGAGTTCACACCAAAGTCCATCACACACGCCGTCACGACCGTGCAAACTCGCAGTGGACTCAGCGAGGGAACGATCAAGAAGGGGCGTCGGGTACCCAATTCCAGGGTTTTCCAAACACATTACACCATCGGCATCGACGACATGTACGCTGAGGCATCCTCCTCTGAAGATGAGCGCACCTACGACGACTTCATACTCGACACGGCAAACACGGCTTCCTCTTCATCGACAAATAAGCAACCTCCGAATGGAGTCCATTGCGCTCTGGACAAGGAATGTAGTCCTCTAGAGTCTATGGACGAGGAGGAGGTTATCCCACCTCGCTACCCACTGCACTAAGCACCTCCTCCTCACGCCGCTTTCGCCTCTCAATTCGCATACATTTATGGGTTTACAGGTTTCCCTGGACATAGGTCCTAAATTGCGCACGGCGCTCCCGATAGCTAGTTCTTCTTCTTCATTGGAACATCCCCCCCTCCCACCGTAGCTTTTCAGTCATAGCACTCGATAGCTCAAAAGAGATAAAGGGAAAGGGAGCTAGGGTTATCTGTTATTTATTCACTCGAGAAGAAAAATAGAGAAGCTTACTAAGCAACCTCCTCCTCGTCCATAGACTCTAGAGGACTACGTTCCTCGTCCAGAGCGCAATGTGCATAGCCGTGGCTTGGACGTGGCTCATGACATAGGTCGACGTCATAGGTCCGACGCGTCACTTCTGGTTGGGGAGCTCTCGGAAACGCGTCAATTAGAGGCAAGTGGGGGGGGTGAGGGTGGAGGGAAGGGATATTTGTGACGACTGCGGCTTGCTTGGCGGGCATGGATCGGTGGTACATATATGAAGTTACTGATGAGGAAAGGGATCCCGTCGTGAATATTGTGTGGAGGCACTGGAGGGACCGGTGGGGGGCACACTGGCAGGCACAGGCACTGATGAGCATCCCATCGCAACGCCTATAAAAGCCATCCATAACCCACTCCCCGCCCTCTCACCTTCATCCGCAAAACCCCTCACAAAAAAAAACCAAAAACCAACCCACAAACACCCCCAAGAAACCTTCAAAATGGACGCCCTCAAAAACGCCGCCTCAGGCCTGCTCAACAAGCCCGCCACCGGAGGAGCCGCAGGAACCACCGGAACCACCCACAACGCCGCTGCCGCCGGCGGAAAGCCTTCGATGGTCGACCAGGGCATTGATGCTGCGCAGAATGCGGGGTACTTGCCCAAGACTGGGACTCAGCAGGGTATGTATATACTGTGGGGGGTCCGCGAGAGGGGGGGCGAGCGACGGTGGGGTGTTTGCCGGGAGCGGCGGGCGAAGCGAGCCCTTTGGTTTATGTCCTGCGACGAGCGAGTCTCGCGCCGCCATGCGCAATACCCGAGAGGGATAGCGAGCGCTCGTTCTTATTGATATTGTTTCCTGATCTTTCGATGGTTCATGGTTGTTGATAGTTGGGGTGAGTTTGATGGGCTTGCAAGGCTAATTGTCATTCGTTTCCCCCTTTTTTTCAGGCAACATGGTCGACCAAGGCCAGAAAGCGTACGCCCAGTACGGAAACAAGGGTAGCGCTCCTGGCGGCACCGGCATCTAGGACCCCAACCCCGACCCATATCTACCTGTTCTGAGAAAACATACCCCTTCTCTACTGGTCGTCTGATGCCTGGTAGTGTGCGAAGATGTATATCCCTGATTTTGGAGCGACCGAGAATTTCTGAGAAATATTATGTAAAAATTAGTTTTTGAAGTGTTCTGAGAGTGTTGAAAATTGTGGTTGGGATCTTGGATGTTGTTTTCGCACCGGTCTGACTCGGTAGTGTGGTGTGCAGTGAGCTCCCTCTGTCTCCCATTCTCAACCACGTCTTAAAATTACACGATGCAAAAAAAGCACAAAATCTATGATTGTCCCCAGCGGGAGCCACCCCATCACATCCATCCAAAAATGACGTCCAAAGGGGCAAACTGCAACTCCCTCATTTCGCTTCTACGCACTAGCAACCTTCTCATAACTCCCTTCTCAGGCTTGCTCATCGCCGGTAGCGGCAGGTCGGACGCGGCTTTAACTGGGTGGTGGGATTGCATGTTTTTGGCGTGGCTGTAGACTATTCCGCCCAGGAACGCTGATAGAAATATCGGAGATATTGCGTTAGAGAGGTGGGAAGGTGAAAGGAGGTGGGGAAGGGAGGGGATGAGGAAAACCCACCTATTGCGACACCACACACCCCGCCGAACGTAACGGGATCGTTAAAGAAGACCATCCCGGCGACGGCGATGGGCAGTTTGTTGAGTGCGCCTACCATACTACAAAAGCCACACAAAATCACACCCTATCAGTCTTTTTCAAACTGCATCTTTCGCTTACATCCATACCTATAAGTTGTAGAACTCGTAACCCGCATACACCACGCGGTGCTATAACTGATCCCAAAGCTGCTGACGCCGCTGATAGCGATTCCGATCAGTAGGCCGCGGACTTCAGAAGCGTGCTCCGGGGTGGTGTATTTGGCGTAGGTGCGCCGTGCTTCGGGTGTCTCGAGGAGGAGGGAGGCGAGGAGGAGGATAGGGATCGAGAGGAGGTCTGTGGGGGGTGAGTGATGAGTGTGAAGGGGAGGGTAAGAGTGAGGCCAGGAGGAGGGTAGGACTTACTGTTATAGAACACAGTGTCAAACTCCTTAAAATTGACCTCCCTGATCTTCTTCTTCATCAACAACGCAAACCCAGCCGTCGTTGCGCAATTCAGCACCATCCACCCATACGCGACAACCCACCCCACACTCCCATCGCCCTTCAACACGTTCCCGCTCGCGATATCCGACCACCCGGCAATCAACGAGGACACGACCATCATACTGAACGCGATGATCATCAAGCGGGTGACGGGCGCGCCGTTGAGGAAGGTACGCTCGGAGAAGGCGATGACGACGATGGTGAGGTTTTTGAAGATGGTGAAGAGGGGGATGGAGAGGTATTGAAGGGCTTTGGAGCCGGTGTAGATCATGGCCGCGAGGGAGAAGGAGACGATGAACCCTGTGAGGAATGAGAGATGGATGAGTGAAGCGAAGCGACCATAGACGGTGAGCGATGGTTGGCCCATGGAAACGAGTGTGAGCGATAGCGAACCATCAATCACCATCCAACATCCACCATCCACCATCAATCCGTCAACGAGATGGTTATAACTCCCCCAGCGAGGTTACCCAGATCGCTCCCTTCGGTCGCAGCTCGCTCTCGCTCGGGCCCCCATCGCAAAACAGAAAGAGTCCGTTCTGGTCGACCTATCGGTCTCCAAGACCGAACCCAACCCTGCAACTCGCTTTGGCCGTTGCAGAAAGGCCACCATCGCTCGCTTTCTCCTCCCTATCGCTCACCCCTCCTCGCTCCCACTCAAACGTACATTTCTGCGCATCGCTCTTCCTGAAAGCGCGTCTCGTCACCAGTCCAAACGCCGTAAACCCCTCCAAAACAACAACACAGACAAGCGATTGAACAGCCAGTAGTAAGAAATTGAGTTTAAACTGATAACTTGAAAGCACAAGTTTGTTTGCGACCGTCATGAGAATCGAGGAGAGACAGTAGGAGGCTATTGCCGCGAGGGCGGGGTTGGCGACGCTGCCCATGGCTGGGTGCTTGGGTGCTTGGGTGGCTGGGTGGGCGTGGGAGGAAGGGTGTCGGTGAGGGATCTGGTGTGGTGGTGACGGACTGTGCTTGGCTGTAGAGAGATGACTATCGGGCAAAGTGTTCGCCCTGGGCCCCGGTCGTTCGTCAGGGAAACCGGAAAGCTGCCTACTGTGGAGAGCCCGGGTTCCAAGTGGGGTTGGGAGTGACTGGGACGGAGACGATCACTTTGGGGATGGGTGTTAAAGTAAATGAAGGAACCATTGCCAGCCGGTTTTCGCAATAGGAGTCCGCAGAGAGATGCCGCACGTTGAAGCAAGGCTACATGAAGTCCTGGAGCACGCGTGACGCAGCCCTCACACTTTCCGTAATCGACACCTGGCAGTCCTGATATCAATACTGTACTCTTTGGCACCCTCTACGAATACAGGGGACAACATCGGTCGCCTCCGGATCCGCGCGGGCGATAGGTTAGAAAAGCGTCTGGCGTCTGCGCTCTCTGGAGTAGCATTCTACTCAACGCATCGATTAAAGTGTTTCTCGCAGAAGTGCAAGCAATGAAAGAATGGCGACGAAGAAGAGGATCCGAGCAACGGCTCCCCCGCGCTCAAATTCACGGCCCGCTATCTTATGGGTGGCATTGAGACATTGCAGTATACTTCATTGCAGTGCAGCTTTGCAAGCCACCCAGTCTTAGTCGTCTGAAAATGAGCGTTCGTGCGTGCCGTTGATTTTGAAAGGCGGTTCAAGATGCACGACGAGTTGAAGCGGAAGAGGGAGAAGGACCAAAGCAAAATCACCAACAGCCATGGACATCTAACTGGCTTCGCAAAGCAGATCAGTCGCCCTGGGAGTGCACACGAGACCGTGACGTTACCTCTTGAAGGCAAAGAAGCGGCAGACGGAAGAAGGTGCGTCGGGGTCTCGTAACGAGAGCGAGTCCATGACAGCCGGGCAGTGAACAGTTAATGCTCCAAGAGGGCGGGGTATGTGCGGCCTGTTATCCTCGTGCACCATACTTTAGGTTTATCTACTCATCGCTGGATATATATGCGTCGCAACGGGAACTGCTTCGGGAAAACAGGTCATCGGGAACCAACGGACAGTATCCGACGTTATGTACACAAGTTGCCATCATCGGCGACGCCTCAGGCAGAGGTACAATGATGTGGATGGCAGATAACCACCTGGGAAAATGGGATGGGGTGAGGATTCTAGACTACCTACGGTTACGGGAGAATGCGTCTGGTCTGCGGCCATTGCCAAACACTGCCGAACGCACAATCGAGAGGAAATTCTTGGTGCTTAGGACGTCCCGATTGTGCACTCTCATCCGGAGTGGTCGTCTTCCAGGAATCTCAAATGGCGTCCAGTCTTGGTTGATACATTCGGGGTTGGGGCAACCCACCAATCCATGGACGAATTCCATTCTTCCCTTTCGAGCTTGCCACGGCCGAGGTGACAGCCGGCGTCGGATGTTTTTCATCACACGCCCGTGGCAGTCTGGGCACACGGAAGACGTTTGATACTCATCTAGCAAGTAGCATGGGATGCTGTTTCTTGCAAAGAGTGTGCGGAATCTGATTTCCATGATGATGAGTTAGCATATTAAGATACATAAAAAACAATGATGGTCACTCACCCCTTGGTCTTTGATGACTCCTGAAAGCGGATGGTTTTTCCGGCGTCGCTCCAATCACCCAAGATGACCGCAAAATGCTTTCCATACAGGCGTTGCATGTTCTTGATGAGCTTGGTCTCAGACTTTTGCCGCAGTGAGAACGCCTTGAATCTGCGAGCTACGTGAATCTCATCCTGGTAAAACTCATCCAGGGCGGGATCTGGGATATGGATGGATGTCAGCCCATGTGTTACCAAAGTTGAGAATCAAAGTTGAAGTAGAACATCATACCCGCATGTAAGTGATCCACAATGAACGCTGAGAACGCCTCGATATTCATGCTCTTGTGCAATGGAATATGTGATTCCACCTCAGCGATGCCGGCATTGATTTTTCGCTCTGTCATGTCTCGTTGAAAGTACCGAGACTTTGTCTCGACCGCCCGTTGATTGGATGTGTATCTGGTATGGGGTGGTACATTGTGAGATTACTACTGCCCTGCTGTCCCCGCTGTCCCCGCTGTCGCCGCTATCCCCGCTGCGCATCATCGGCGACGCCTCAGGCAGAGGTACAATGATGTGGATGGCAGATAACCATGCCGCTATCCCCACTGTCGCCGCCGCTATCCCCGCTGTCGCCGCCGCTATCCCCGCTGTCGCCGCCGCTATCCCCGCTGTCGCTGCCGCTATCGCCGCTGTCGCCGCCGCTATCCCCGCTGTCGCCGCCGCTATCCCCGCTGTCGCCGCCGCTGTCCCGGCTGTCGCCGCCGCTGTCCCCGCTGTCCCCGCTGTCCCCGCTGCCCATCATCGGCGACGCCTCAACCCTCCCCGTCCCCGTTCCCACGATCCCCTTCGTTCGAAATTCTGCAATCAGCTGAAACGTACCTAAATGGCCGCTCCTTCTTGATGTCTCGACAGAACAAGAGGTCACGCTTGCCCGGATCAATGCTGACGATGTTTGGAGCCTCCCTTAGTTCGGCGATGTGGTGCTCAAAATACAGCTGTTTGACTTCTTCCTGCATTTGGGCCTTGCTGCGCTTCCGGGCGCGATGGCCATACTGAAGCCCTGGCTTCTTGAAGTGGATGGTAGCGGAATACCCGTTTATGCTGATTGACCCATCAAATTTGAGACCAAGCTTCTTTCGATCCTTGAAGACCTTGTCCTGCAATCCGTCATTCAGCGAGGTGAGGTGAGTGAAATAAGCGCAGAGGGATAGAGACTTACATTCACATTGAGAAACTGCCCCCACAGCTCCCGCTTGCGTTGATCGGTGAGTTTCCCCATGCGATGGTGGCCCAAGGCCAGGATATGAGTGGATAGGATCTTTGTGTCGATCCGAACGGATGACTGGATTCAAGATTTGCGCAGCGGGATAGCGGAAAACAGCCGCATTCCACGGCGCTCATAGAGGCGTGAGAGCTCACAATAGGCACCTGTGATGAGGCAAGGCAGGTGCGGACCATGATTAGACAAAAGAGGAACCCGCGGGGAGGGGGGGGCCGGAAATATACTAACTCACCTAAATATGGCATTGCGTCCACCGCAAGGCTGTATGCAAGCGGTTCATCCTGGGGAGGAAACAGAGCCCATAACTCGTCGAGGACAGTCCGCTCAAGTTGTGTGAGGCAGGCAAACTCCTCTTCGGTTGGAAACTCTACAAATGTTGCATACTTTGTAAACTGACGGACACGCTGATAATAGCGTCGCCGCTGCGCTCGGTTGACTCCGGCACGGAGATGCAGTACGACTTGCTTCAAACCAAGCCTTTCATTGACATAGCGCAGAAACATTTGCATGAAATGCTCTTGTACGTTAACTTTGAGGTTTGTGAGGATGCTCGTAGCCGTGTATGCTGCGGTCCGTTGGCAATTTCGCATGCGGATGGGGGCAAATCCGTGAACATTACAGTAGTCTTGAACCCATGGACGCAACTCTTGCCCGATGAGCGGATTGCCATTGTAGCCTGGATTGTTGAGCAGCTCAAACATCACACTGATGTGCTTGTCGGTGATGTCCGGGAAATCGTGTAGAGGATGGTCAGCTGTGGTGGGGTGGGCCGATGTAGCAGTAAGGACATTGTTTTATGGGAAATATACAGTATAGTGTACCTCAAAAACTCACCAAGGTAGTACTTGATAAAGAAGGTGGTGTGGCGCGCAAGGACGTGAACATCGGCGATGAATGTTGTCAGGCGCTCCCTTTGGACTTGATTGTGATTTTGGATTCGGTGAAGGGAAACCTTCGTGCTGGCGTGTGTCTGCGGGCGGGGTCGTTGAGCTGGTGGTGGTGGCGGGGGTGGTGGTGGCGGGGGCTCATACACCAGGGGTCCACCCGGTGCGCTGGGAAAAAGGAAAGGGATGGGAGCAGGGAGGTTCAACCCTGTCCACGGGTGAAAGCCCTCGCTGCTGCTGCTGTTGCCCGTCTTCATCTCCGGAACTCTCGCTAACCATGTCTGGAATTGCTTGGGGCAACTGGCGATGGACAGAAGGTGGGAACTCGAATTGCGGGGATGGTTGCAATGGTGTCTGCACAGCGGTTGGCAGACGTATGGGCAACCGCAGGGTAACCGGAGCAACCTTTTTCCTCTTCCGCCGTGGTGTGGTTGCTCCAGTAAAGATGCCACACCACAGGTGCCCCTGGAGCGCCTGGTGTGATGGCATGATGGCTGCGCTGTGCCGAGACAGGTGTTGCAGGTGATTGCCGTGATAGCTGTGTGTCAAAGAACTTGCGTCAGTGCTGTGGTAATGATGAGGCTGAGAGCGGGGAGGATTTACAGCCTGGCGCAGTCGTGGCGCAGTTGTAGCTTGTCCACACTGCTGCTGCTGATCGCCGCATCTCCAAGACCACACTTTCCTCCTCTCACACGAAACGTCAAGCGCTCGCAGCGGACGACAGCCCAACGCTCACCTCCTTGCAGCTCAAGCCTGGCAACTCACGCAGAGCACACTCTGGGCATGGAAACGTCAAGCGCTCGACAGTCCCCTCACCCCCCTGGCCAACGCCCACCTCCTTCCAGCTCAGGCCCGGCAACTCACGCAGAGCACACTCTGAGCATGCTCAGCGCTGACGAGGTGAGTGGCTGCTGTGTGGCCGTGGGCGCCTCCGCTGGGTGTTGACCGCCTGGGCTCACAGCCCATGTTGAGCACAACCGCCGCTTGCGGGAGGTTGACCTGCATGGGATGCGCTGCCTGGGCGCGCTTGCTATACGCCGATCTCACGGCCCATGTTGAGCACGACCGCCGCTTGTGGGAGGTTGACCTGCATGGGATGCGCTGTCTGGGCATGTTGCTGTGCGCTGATCTTGATGCCTCCCCTGCTGAGCACGACCGCCGCTTGCGGGAGGTCGACCTGCATGGGATGCGCTGCCCTGCCGTGGAAGTGGGACCTGTCGATCGGGCTAGGTCTGCTAACACCTTCCCTTCCCCCCCTCCCCTCTACCGCGCCGCAGGCCACGCCCCCCGTCGCACCCACCGCGGTTGAGGCTCTTCTGATGGGCATGGGCAAGAGCCGCGCCACAGCTATCTCCGGCGACACGGTGGCCTTTTTGTATCCGCTGCTGGTAGACGCCGGCCTTGCCGCCCAGGACGCCAGCCTAGAAGACAAGGCCAAGGCGATTGGCCTTTTTTCAAAGAAGATCAAGCAAGACAACCCCACGGGTTGGTGGATCAATAGGCCAACGTGGTCCCGTCTCCAGAAGAAGCGCGTCAAGCACCACATTGGGCTCCAGTCTGGCATCATCGCTGCGATCAGCGATGGCAGTCTTACCACGGCCGACTTCTCGGTCGACCCGCAGCCCTCCGCCAGCCGCCCGGTTGTTCACATCGTGGTGCCAACGCCCGCCTTGTGCGATGGCTGGGAGGGCAAGATGGTCTATGCCGGGTTTGGGAAGAGGCCGGCAAAGGCGAGGGGCCTGGAAAGGCTTGAGCAAGTTGAACCCCAGGCGGGGGCCAACTCTACATCCGCGACGAGCACGGTGCCCTTGTGGCCACAATCTCGTACAATAGCGCGAGTCGTCACAAACACGACCTGCGGCTGGGGCTCATCGTCGAGTCCTGTGGATCCCGGCTGGCTGTGGTTCAATGGAAGGCCTCAAGGGGCACAATGCACGGCGCGGGGCTTCGTCGTGGCAACAAGAACTCGGGATATGCCAGGGGGACGTCGCACTATTCAATGAAAGGAGGGGCAGACATGTCTGCAAAGAAGTTTCTCGTTGCCACGGAAAAGGCCTTCACCAAGCGACTGCTGCAGGAGCTCGCCAATCGCAACCCGACCGCGGCGGCCTACCTGATGATGGCCATGCCAGAGGTGTACGGGCCACATTCCGATGAGTTCCCCCCGCTGTTTGCCACCACCAACTATCAAGTGGTCATTCACTCCGACCCGTCGGACGACGGCGTAGCAGGCAAGCTGAACCCGCAGACAGGACGCGCCATATGGAAGCCGACCCCCAAGGAGGAGCTTCCGGAGGAGCTTCAGGCCCGTAAGCTATGCGCGCAATGGGCGGCAGGCTACGCCGCCGCTCCGCCAACCGTCGTTGGCGAGTGGGTATTTGCGCTGCCAGAGCAAGGCTTCTACCTGGTGCTGCAGCCCGACTGCTTGTGGACATGGATGCCTGACAAGCTCCACGGAGCGGCGGTGCTTGACACGTCCGGCGGCAGTCGCCACACAGCTGTTGTGACGCTGCCCCTTGCGATTGTCGTGGCCATCCAAAAATACGGCCTCCCTGATGAAGATGAATAACCCCCGCCAAACAATCCTTCCCCACAGTCATCCGCTCCGACCTTTCAGGTCGTCGGTCTAATATATAGCAACCCTCCCGCTCTCTAACTCATCATCCGCTCGGACCTTTTTGGTCGTCGATTGTTGGTGTAGAAAGGAATGCAATGTACACAAGTCGCTGCCCACGACGGTCTTCTGGAAGGCATTCCTGAATGACACACTGCGTTCCGTTCGAAAGCCGTTAGAAATGTTTGTAGCTGCCATATCCCGCCATATCCGACAGTTGTGGGGTATATCACACCATATCCAGTGTCGTAGCGGCCATATCCAGCGCTATCCTGCTCTCAAAGCTTGTATTCTGCCATATCCCGTGGCTGTTGTTTCGTTAATAGATGGTTGATGGCTCTCCACATGTTCTGGGCCGTGATTGTGGTTCGCGTTCGGACATAGATCATCACTCCCTGGTCCTGATGTGCACAACAGAATGATGAGATACACAATCTACTCCCCGCTCGAGATCGCTCGCTATAGCACCCATCCGCTTGCTTTATCGTTAGCAATGTACGACCCGAAAGCTTGGTATGCTCACGAGTAAATTGTCAAAACAAGAAGTTGGCTAGCGCTAATGGTTCTGCTAACGATTTTCTGTTCAGCTTTGACTCGTTGCGAATCTCAAAATCTACCAATGGAATGGCGAGTAAATTGACGGCCTCAACTGTGCCAAAGCGCCAGTGTTGTCTGAATGCAATGACAGTACACCAGAATGGTGTAATTCCACTGTTAGATATGTAGCGTGCGTGCGGAACCTAACCCTACAACCGTAACCCTTTTGTCATGGTGCTGTATATACGTACATTACAGCTGAACTATGGGATTACAGCATTACAGTACAGCTGAACTACGGGATGTTTAAACCCTGGGACGTTAAAACTACGGGATACGCCGCTTCCTCTCTATGAAATACGCCCTAACCCTCCTCGGAAGAATCAGAATGGGTCAGCGCAATCGCTCTAAAGTCTGCAATCACTCTAAAGACTCAGCAAGCCCAAGGATGCGCCCGGCATCAACGACACCCTCCTCCTGCAACAACCGTTCGACTCATTTTGCCAGCTTCTCGTTGATTTGAAAGGAGGTCCCGAGGCGATTGGAGTCGTCGCCTCTGACGGACGACGTGGTTGCGTGTGCATCCTCAGGCCCTCGCCAAACAATCTCGACAACGCTATCGCACGCATCAAAGTCCACGTATACGCGATCGTCTGCATTCACAAAGACTCCACCACGACAGGCGAATCCATCCGCCTTGCTTTTCAGCTTGCCCGTTGTGTTCGAGACTGGGAACCAGATTCCGTATGTGAGCTTCGATGTGTCGTTATCGCGGTCGAATTTATTGGCAAAATCATCCCATGTGGCGGTGATATGCTGGCAAAGGAGTTGTCTGCAACGAGGTTGCCGAATTGCGCTTGTGAAATGCTTGGCACACGAAGTTCCTTTGCCCGCTTTTTGATGCGAGACAAGAGGTAAGGGGAAAGCTTATTGAGGAAGTGGATGTGATGCGCCTCAACCTTTGGTAACTCAGCTTGCAAGGCGGCCCACTTCTCCCTGCTAACGGTGTCCTTTTTTCCTGGTTGATAGATGCCCATGCTTTTTCCACTATCTGTACCCGCACGCCAGCCAACACCGATCATGGTACCGGATGTCTGTGCGGTGTTTATCATCACGGGGTAAGCGAACTGTCGCTGGTGGTGGAGGTGGAGCGCGACCTCCTCAAAACGGGTCCTGTCATCCGTGGACATATCCGCAAATGGACGAAACCTTGCCGCAAATACAATCTCATCCGCTTGCCTGTCGGCCACAACAACGATGTCCTTGTAGAGACGGGTGTTATGATCTTGACGACTGAGGCGGAAGCGAAGTAGAGAAGACAAGGCGAGAGCGATGGGCGACAAGAGATTGTATTGGCGAAACAAGAGACAAGGACTAGAACAAGAGATGAGAAGAACTGGTCTTGATCTGCTGGGGAGGAAGGGAATGGACGAAGAGAGGCTGGCTATTTATAGATAGACAACCCAGCAGTCAAAGAACAACAACAACAAGAGAGGACTGGGGGGCGCGCCAGCTATGCTCCTAGAGCGGCCGTGGCGAGCGTAGAGGGCATTGCTACAGCTGCTGGCTATGGAGAAGTAGTGCGGGGTGTGCAGAAGCCGTGGGGGGGATTGGGGAATTGAGAGGGGAGAGGAGGAGTGGCGATATTGCCGGAGGATTGGCGAAATGAGAGGAGAGAGGAGGAGTGGCGATATTGCGGGAGGATTGGCGAAATGAGAGGAGAGAGGGGGAGTGGCATTGACATTGGCATTGACATTGACATTGACATTGACATTGACATTGGCGTTTGACATTGGTGTTCGACATTGGCGTTTGACATTGGCGGCTGTCAGTAGGTAAGATTATGGTATGGGCGCGTCGTCCATAACAATGGGTGTACGGGTGATCGTGATCAACTTCCCTGGTATATTGCTTGAGGAAGTCTTCGTGCGTAAGGTGCTTTCCAAACGGATGCGGGTTGGTTTGCTGCTCAGTCTTTCATGTTGCCCAGAATATGTATGCACTGTCGTCGGAACCTGTGGCACAAGGCCATACAACAGCTGGTCAGTCGCGTTGGTTGAGACGGGTCTGACAGCATACGTAATGAAACGAACCTTGGTCAACACTTCTATGCTGGTCAACACTTCTATGCTCAGCTCCAGCCTCGGTATCACCCGCCGTCTTCAATATCCTCCGCATGTTTTCATTCTTTTCTCGTTTGCGCTGTCGGTTTGCCGCCTTTTCCCTCGCCCGATCGGCTTTGGAACGTCATTGCGGCTCTGACTTTGACCCTGGCTCTGACGTTGATGCTGATTCTGTCATGCTGATTTGCCTGGTGAATGGAGTATGCAAATTAGTTGGGGCGGAGTATGTAGGTTGTCGGGGGAGCATGGGAGTGGGTTTGGGACGTAGAATGGCAAACGAATCGCGAGGCTGCCCCTATTCCGGGCTGTCTCGGGCGATCGTGAGTCGAGAAGGTTGCT